GTGCATGTTTAGTAGCGTATTAGATAAAGTGCGAAAGTGTTCGTTCCCATTTCTGAAGCTTCGCTTTAACATCTCAGATGGATGACGTGGATACCGGCCTGAAGTTTCCCCTCTTCTCTGTGGGGACCGGCACTCCTCGCCTGGCAGCCCGCCGGGTAGATTTAGCTTTGCTGGGACGGGCGTTCCCCTCGGATGAGGCAGGCAAAGCGTCCTCCGCCTCTCCGTGACGACTAGCCGTTTTTATCATCTACAAACCCACTCTGTCCTCGAGGAGATCCGACCTCCTCCATCCTCAACACAATCGCAGTCATAGAGCCCCTTTTTATATCTCTCACACATCCTCGTCTAGACTGAAGTTCGTTTTAGGTAGAAATCTCTGGGTGGGATTTTCCATTAGAAATAATCCTGCTCCTGGCTGGTGGGATTTTCCATTAGAACACTGTTTGCGGGGCTGAAGATAAACCCAGAGGTTTGCAGGAGACTGTCTAACCAATAGATTGCACGGCTGCTTCTATGTCATGCCTTTTTGAGGATAGGTTGCTACGTTGATTTATTTATTGGGTAGTTAAATCACAGCTCTCAAGCCCCCCGCCCCCCGATTCTGTTTACGTGTTCCAGCAGACTTTGAAGCCTCCGCAAGCAGTTATGAAAGTTGTCATTTTGCTGGGCCGCTCCTGAGTCTTGTCGAGCTAAGAGGCCAAGCCTTAGAGGTCTCCTTCAGAATCCTCACTGGGATTCAGCCTTATTGAAACCAATTAGACCCCCCACACTAATGTAACCACCCCCTCCCCCGTCATCCTCCAGCAAAGTGATGTCCGGCTATAAAAATGGATGCTGTGTAGGAGGCACGGTACGGAGCTTCTGTTCTACTGCACGTCAGTCATGGTTTGCAGGTTTAGGGAACCTTCTTAGAGCCTACAAAGGGGTGTATACTTCCAAATGACACAATGCCTCTTAAGTTGGACAGCTACAATGAATGAGGACACCCAGGAGGTCTTCTGGGACAACCTCCTCATTCCAGCCCCCTCTAAGAAAACATGGTGATGAATCCCTTAAAGGCAGATCTGGCACACCGCTTAACATCACTCTCTGGAAGAAATGGCCTTGTTATACACAATACCTAATCTTTCTGACGTTTGCTCACTGATATCAGGTTTTGTAAGAATAATCTCCTTAAGCTTTCAATTAACATCAGGCTCAACACGACATGCCAATATCCCTTCTGGGTCACCCAGTCCTCAACGCCCCCCCTGCTCACTATGTTCACTTTGAAGGTGGAGAGAAAAACCACAAGGTCCTGCTTCTCCATGTAGGAGGTGACATTTCCGTAGGTGATAGGGGAACATCAGTGTTATCAATCTGCTCCATGACTCCTCTTTGCTGCTCATTGAGTTGCACATGCCGCATCTGTACCTTGTGACAGCTGACATTTTCCTGTGACAAATCAGAATGTCTCAAAGGACCACTCTGTTAAAAAAGTGTCAAGTCTTTGTTAATTCTGACCTCTCGTTCGTGGACTGAACCAAAGCCAGGGACATGATTTAGCCTGATTTGTACAAGCCTTGACCAGGATAAATCTGTCTAACTTTGGTGCTTATCTTCAGAGCACAGCTGTTGGTGCATAGCTTCTGTAAGTCCATCCCGCCAATTCCTGAGGACCTTTGGGAGAACTTGATGCCTATCATGCTGGACGGCCTTACAAAGTTGTGACACAGGAATGGCTGTCATGCTGAAATGAGACAGGAGCATTCAGTCGGGCGTAAGTCTTTGTCTAACTATGGATAATGTCTGTCTAATATTTGTGAAAAACCACTCGTGTGATCCCAGGAGTTGTGCACCAATATTCTGTGGAGAGATGCCTGAAACGGGGCCCTCTTGATGAAATGCCCTGTAAAAACTAAACATTTGAAGCATCAATCTCAAACACACAGACAGAGATGTAAATTCTGCCATTGACTGTGAGAGAGACAATAACTACAGGTCAGTAACTACAGGTGTAATTTGGTTGTTGACATTGCTGATAAAGATGGCTTTCACACCCTGGGAGTGACATGCCTTCTTTATACTAAATAAAATGTAATTATTGAAATTTCATGTTATTTGTCCACTTTGGTTTCTTTAGCCTAACACTGATGTTTTGTTACATAGCCCTTAACATTGAGTCACATAATATGGGCACATTCAGAGTATTCGGGAAATCACAGCACTAGAAATATGTTACTTTATTCAAATGATCCAGCAGGATGAATGTCTGCACTAAGGCCATACGGTGGATTCTCTCCGGACCAACTGCCTTTGAAGGTAACTGCCCTTAACGGCTTTAGCTTTACTCGCACAGAGCTGCAAACACACAGAGCTGTGTTTTGAAAAGCATGACAACATGTGAGGCATAGAGCTACTCAGCCATGTTGAAAATAACAAACAGAGGCTTTGCATTTGTCGTTATCAGGACCGTACAGCCGTCGCACGCCGCTCCGGATTGGGGGCTCCGGTAATGGAAATAGTCGCGTCGTTTAATACTCGCTTAATTTTTTCTGCAGAATTTCTGTGCTATAATTATCATTTTCAGGCGATAATCGAAGATTTTGAGTCTTCGTGTTCCAAAGATCTAGATTTTGCCGGGGAGCAGATAAGGAACATAGAGTCGCTTATCGCGCTTCCTGCAGAGCGACGTCGGTCACAGACTGCTGGAGGTTCCCCTCGTGTGCTGGTTGCTCATGCCGCCGCTCTTACACACAGCACACGTGACACTGATGGACAGTGCCCCAGTTAATGAACCATCTGTCCTGACAGTGATGGGGATCCCCGGCTTCGGTCTACAAATCTGCGAGGACTGGGTATGTCGAGGTGAAAACAGGGAGCGGCCCCACTTTGTTATTGTCAATGTGGAGAAACAGTTCGCTTGCTTATCGTATCTAATCTGGTGTTAAAAAGGACCACGGGTCGTCACTGTGGTGCGCTGACACTCAAGGGCGTAGGCAACAAAGGGAAACACAGAGCGGTTTTGATTTGTTTTGGCAGCGCGGATCTTGTGGGGAATTCAGCGAAGGATAAAAAGCCCACCGGCTTCTGTCACTACGTCTGCTGGCCTCAGCCCTGATCCAAAGCAGGGCAGTGCCGCAGATTAAAGATGCTGTTCCCAGGGCAAATGAACCAGAAAAGGGGAAAACAGAGGACAAAGCAGTCAACAGGATTTGGGATCACTCTAGAAAGGATAGAAAAGTAGAGAATTTTATTTGGATGCACAGTCTTGGCATCAGCATGTGCACAACACACGTATAGTTATGAAAATATGATGGATGCTATGGAAGGGCTATAACTGGGTGTGGGATTGTCCATCGGGGTCTGGGCATGTTTACTGAGTGAGAAAGGTTTATAATTTGGTCCACAATATGAAAAACAAGGAACCTGATTGGATGTTCTCATCACCTGACTTAGCCCCTCCCTCCATTGAATTTGAATTGAATTTTAGTGATCAGTGACATCGTTGACACGCCACAGCACACAACAACGAAATATGTCCTCTGCATATGGGTTAACCCATATGTGACATTGTGACATAGCAGGGGGCAGCTAATTCAGCCCCCGGGGAGCAGTGCTTGGGGGCGGTACCTTGCTCAGGGTACCTCAGTGGTGCCTTGCCGGTTGCTGATCGGGGAGTCGAACCTGCAATCTTTTAATTACATGTGTGCTTCCCTAACCATTAAGCCACCACTGCCTATTGTGCAACTGGAATATTGTTAGTAAACCAAACACTTTTATCAGTTTGAGGGATTGAGCAGTTCATGGTGTTTCCATCCATCCATTTTCTGAAACCGCATGTCCTATTCAGGGTCACAGGGGGTCTGGAGCTATGGTCTATAGGCACAAGGCAGGGAACAACCCAGGATTGGACACCAACCCACCAGAAGGTAGGCAGGCGTGTGCACACACATGTCGTTTGGCAACCCCAATTATACCCAGTATAAACCCCATGATGAAAGAGGGAGAGCATGCAAGCTCCACACACGTGGAACCCAGGCAAAGACTTGAACTCAGGTCCCAGTGGTATGTGGAGACCACTACCATCATGTGTGCTACCACCACACCATCATGCCATCACTCATGGTATTTCTTAAAAGAAAAATGTGGGGGACAAACACTGCTAACAGAACTTCTTGAGAAGAAACTACAAAATCGTGAAAGCTATGTAGAGGGAGTGAGTGGCTCACTGGATTGGGACAGTGAATCCAGTGAATCCCAGCATAATAGAGGTATTTTACTGTTAGGGCCTTCAAGAAAGGCTGTGGTCCCTAATGGGTGCAGGGGCCATATGACTCTGCTTTCTGAACTGTAAGTCACTTCAGATCAAACCCGCTAAATTTATGAAATGACCCATTTACAGCACATCGCTGTTTCAAAGGAGTGTCATCCCAAAGCAAAGGTGCCTACAAAAACACCAGCACTGGAGTGCAAAAACCCACTGTGATGAATCAGAGTTTGACACAAACAGGAAATTTTAATTTCATCACCCTTGGGACTTTTTTCTGGTGCTGTTGTTCTGGGAAAATGAGATTTTTTAAATTACCACCTGAGCATCTGAAATGTGGATCCCTTCTTCCTCTAAGTGCTGCGGGCTCGTGCATTTGGCAGCGCGTCCATCGGTGTCATTATAATGCGTCATAATCCTCAGATCATCTCCATTATCTCCACTGTGCTCAAACAGAAGAAGAGGGATTATTTACGGCTGAGAGTGCTTTGGATAATCTTTTCATGGAGGAATATTGTATGGATAAGGAAGGAATCCCCCCATCGAAAATCAAATAAAGAGGGGCCAGAATGAAGAATTCTTGGCAGAATATTCATTTATTCAGTTTTAGACAAAAGGCGATACATGTTGTGCTGTTTCCTTATATACAGTTTATACATTATAT